TCCCCTCTCTCTCACACTCTCTCTCACACACACACACTCTCTCTCTCTCTCTCTCTCTCTCTCTCTCTCTCTCTCTTCTCTCTCTCTCTTCTCTCTCTCTCTCTCTCTCTCTCTCACACACACACACACACACACACACACACACACACACACACACACACACACACAGAGTTGTAAGGCAGTGGAATAGCCTAGAAAATGACGTAGTGGAGGCAGGAACCATACACAGTTTTAAGACGAGGTTTGATAAAGCTCATGGAGCGGGGAGAGAGAGGGCCTAGTAGCAACCGGTGAAGAGGCGGGGCCAGGAGCTAGGACTCGACCCTGAAACCCACAAATAGGTGAGTACAAATAGGTGAGTACACACACACACTCACTCTCACTCTCACACTCTCTCTCTCTCTCACTCTCACACTCTCTCACTCTCACACTCTCTCACTCTCACACTCTCTCACTCTCACACTCTCTCACTCTCACACTCTCTCACTCTCACACTCTCTCACTCTCACACTCTCACACTCTCCTCATCACACTCTCTCACTCTCACACTCTCTCACTCTCACACTCTCTCACTCTCACACTCTCTCACTCTCACACTCTCTCACTCTCACACTCTCTCACTCTCACACTCTCTCACTCTCACACTCTCTCACACTCTCTCACTCTCACACTCTCACACTCTCACACTCTCACACTCTCACACTCTCACACTCTCTCTCACACTCTCACACTCTCTCTCACACTCTCACACTCTCTCTCACACTCTCTCTCTCTCACACTCTCTCTCTCACACTCTCTCTCTCTCTCACTCTCTCTCTCTCTCTCTCTCTTTCATTATTTGTTTTATCTCGTTTACTCACCCCTGACCTTACATTAAGACTACAAATATTTTAAGGTAAGCAATGAGTAAGCTGTACAGTGGACCCCCGTCTTACGATATTAATCCGTTCCTGAGAGCTCATCGTAAGCCGAAATTATCGTTAGCCAAATTAATTTTCCCCATAAGAAATAATGGAAATCAAATTAATCCGTTCCTGACACCCCAAAGTATGAAAAAAAAAAATTTTTGCCACATGAAATATTAATTTTCATACACAGATTGAAGATATGCACAATTACTACTCTACTAAGAATAGAATACAGTGGACCCTCGACCAACGATGGCATCGATTAACAATAAATCTGACTAGCGATACATTTTAACGCAAAAATTTTGCCTTGACTAGCGCTTAAAAACCCGACCAGCGCTATTCGTTCCATACCATACGCGTCCACTTTGGCCTGAGTGCGCCTCACTTGTCCCTTTGGTGCCAGTGTTTACAAGCCAGCCAGCCACCGCGGTCGCTTCCAAACATACAACTGGAACATTTCATATTATCACAGCCTTTTTAGTGATTGCACCTGCAAAATAAGTCACCATGGGCCCCAAGAAAGCTTCTAGTGCCAACCCTACAGCAAAAAGGGTGAGAATTACTATGGAGATGAAGAAAGAGATCATTGATAAATATGAAAGTGGAGTGCGTATCTCTGAGCTGGTCAGGTTGTATAATAAACCCCAATCAACCATCACTACTATTGTGGGCAAGAAAACGGCAATCAAGGAAGCTGTTCTTGCCAAAGGTGCAACTATGTTTTCGAAACTGAGATCGCAAGTGATAGAAGATGTTGAGAGACTTTTATTGGTGTGGATAAACGAGAAACAGATAGCAGGAGACAGCATCTCTCAAGCAATCATATGTGAAAAGGCTAGGAAGTTGCATGACGATTTAATTAGAAAAATGCCAGGTTGGGTTGAGAGATTTAAGAAGCGTAGTGGCATTCATAGTGTGATAAGGCATGGTGAGGCTGCCAGTTCGGACCACAAATCGGCTGAAAAATATGTGCAGGACTTCAAGGAGTACATACACAGTGAAGGACTGAAACCTGAACAAGTGTTTAATTGAGACGAAACAGGCCTGTTTTGGAAGAAAATGCCAAGCAGGACCTACATTACTCAGGAGGAAAAGGCACTCCCAGGACATAAGCCTATGAAAGACAGGCTTACTCTGTTGATGTATGCCAATGCTAGTGGTGACTGCAAAGTGAAGCCTTTATTGGTGTATCACTCTGAAACTCCCAGAGTGTTCAGGAAAAACAATGTCCTCAAGGCTAATTTGCGTGTGCTGTGGAGGGCAAACAATAAGGCATGGGTCACTAGGGACTTTTTCTATGACTGGTTACATCATGCATTTGCCCCCAATGTGAAAAATTACCTAATTGAAAAGAAATTAGACCTTCGGTGCCTCCTGGTATTAGACAATGCTCCTGGTCATCCTTCAGACTTGGCAGAGCGACTTTCTAGGGACATGAGCTTCATTAAGGTGAGGTTTTTGCCTCCTAATACCACTCCTCTCCTGCAGCCCATGGACCAGCAGGTTATTTCCAACTTCAAGAAACTGTACACAAAAGCTATGTTTTGAAAGGTGCTTTGTAGTGACCTCAGAAACTCAACTGACTCTAGAGAAGTTTTGGAAAGATCATTTTACCATCCTCAATTGTGTAAACATTATAGGTAAGGCTTGAGAGGAAGTGACTAAGAGGACATTGAACTCTGCTTGGAAAAAACTGTGGCCAGAATGTGTAGACAAAAGGGATTTTGAAGGGTTTGAGGCTAACCCTGAGAATCCTATGCCAGTTGAGGAATCCATTGTGGCATTGGAGAAGTCCTTGGGGTTGGAGGTTAGTGGGGAGGATGTGGAAGAGTTGGTGGTGGAGGACAGTGAAGAACTAACCACTGATGAGCTGCTAGATCATCTTCAACAGCAAGAGGGCACACCTGAGGAAACTGCTTCGGAGGAGGGGAGAGAAATTGAAGAAGTTGCCTACTTCTAAGATAAAGGAAATGTGTGCAAAGTGGCTTGAAGTGCAAACCTTTTTTGATGAAAATCACCCTGACACAGCTACTGCAAGCCATGCTGGTGACTATTACACTGACACTGTTGTGAACCACTTTAGGAAAGTCATAAAGGAATGAGAGGTACAGGCCTCTATGGACAGATATGTTGTGCGACAGAAGTCCAGTGACTCTGAAGCTGGTCCTAGTGGCATTAAAAGAACAAGGGAAGTAACCCCAGAAAAAGACTTGCTGCCTCAAGTGCTAATGGAAGGGGATTCCCCTTCTAAACACTAACACCTCTCCCCTCCTCCCATCCCATCAGTCATCACCAGATCTTCAATAAAGGTAAGTGTCATGTAACTGTGCATGTAATCTTCAGTTTGTGTGTATTAAAATTAATATTTCATGTGGTAAAAAAAAATTTTTTTCAATACTTTTGGGTGTTTTGCACGGATTAATTTGATTTCCATTATTTCTTATGGGGAAAATTAACTTGACTAACGATAATTCTGACTAACGATGAGCTCTCAGGAACGGATTAATATCGCTGGTCGAGGGTCCACTGTACATGACACTTACCTTTATTGAAGATCTGGTGATGATTGATGGGATGGGAGGAGGGTAGTGTGTGGAAGTTATTGTTTAGAAGGGGAATCCCCTTCCATTAGGACTTGAGGTAGCAAGTCCTTTTCCAGGGTTACTTCCCTTCTTCTTTTACTGCCACTAGGACCAGCTTGAGAGTCACTGGACCTCTGTCGCACAACAAATCTGTCCACAGAGCTCTGTACCTCCCGTTCCTTTAAGACTTTCCTAAAATGGGCCATGACACTGTCATTGTACAGGTTGCCAACACGGCTTGCAGTAGCTGTGTCAGGGTGATTTTCATCCATAAAGGTTTGCAGTTCAACCCACTTTGTACACATTTCCTTAATCTCTCTTTTCAATTCCATACTAATTCTCGCCCTTTTTACCACAGGGATGGCACTAGAAGTTTTCTTGGGGTCCATGGCGACTTATTTTGCAGTTACAAGAACTAAAAAAAATTGGTATAATGTGAAATGTACCGAATGTATGCGTAGATGCGACCGCACTGGCTGGCTTGTAAACACTGGCGCTGAGGCCACACGTGGGACGCGTCCCAGACGAATCATGTAAGGCGAGTTTTTTGTGAGGCGAGGCAAAATTTTTTGCATTCAAATGCTTCGTATGGCAGATTTAACATAACGCGATGTGTTCGTAAGGCAGGGTCCACTGTATATGCATTTTATCGCTCTGGGATGCTTAAATGTCATAGATTGTGTGGGTGGGGTGGCCTGGTATGGTAGCCTGGCTGGCTACCATACACACAACACTTGATTTCTTACAATAAATACTATTTGTCTCACCCTAGATTAAGACTACAAATATTTTAAGGTAAGTAATAAGTGTACTATATGTGTATTTTACTTTTTTATTGTTTTTAATGCCTGGTTCTATTGCTAACTTAATATATGTAAGTGGTAACTTGTTATGTAGTATTTTTATGCATTTATAAGCGGAACAAAAGGGTGTTCCGCCTTATGGCGGTAGCCTGGAACCTAACCTGCCGTATAAGTGGGGCCCTGCTTTACATTCTCAGACTTGGCATAACTCTTACTTTATGAAAACAAAATCCATGCCTGGCTCTAAAAACTATAACTAATTAAATTATCAACAGTCAAGTTTGAACACTTCAAATTAGCAAAAATTCTGATACAAGATATACACACATTTATTGTGATTGTGTTAAGGTCTACAATGCAAGCTATAAATACAAATAACTTATTTCGTATAGGAGATAAGACTAACACCATGTATTAATTTTTTTTAACACACTGGCCATCTCCCACTGAGGAAGGATGACCCGAAAAAGAAACACTTTCACCATCATTCACACTATTACTGTCTTGCTAAAGGCAATTTTACGTAATTAAATATTTATAATTAAAAAACTATATATATTCCATATTTGTAGTTTATAAAAAAATCATTAATATACAAAATTTATGATAAAAAATAAGATATTATAAGGATGCTTATGTATAATAAGCAACAGTCATTTAAATGACTAATATTAAAATGCAACAGAATGAGTATGTATTTGTACCTCTGGTTCCAGTCAAAAGTTTGGCTTTTTCCTCAAGAGAGTCCTTTATGGCGGCTGTCAGTGATTCAAACAGGCGTTGCTAAAAGTAAACCATAAACCTCTTCTAGAATCTCTGAGTAAAAAAAACTGTAGCAGCTATTAGAAAATTAAAAGAATGATTAAATAGAGAGGACACATTTTGAAATAAATAAATTATTTCAGGATAATTATATTCATTGTAGGTAGTAGGTTGGTAGACAGCAACCGCCCAGGGAGGTACTACCATTCTGCCACGTGAGTATAAAATGAAAGTCTGTAATTGTTTTACATGATGGTAGTATTGCTGGTGTCCATTTTTCTGTCTCATAAACATGAAAGGTTTCAGGCACGTCTTGCTACTTCTACTTACACTTAGGTCAAAGTACACATACTTGTACAAGCATATATATGCAACAGATAGGCAACTTTATTCCGAAACGTTTCGCCTACACAGTAGGCTTCTTCAGTCGAATACAGAAAGTAGGCAGGAACAGTAGAGATGTGAAGACGATGTAATCAGTCCATCACCCTTGAAGTCGTAGAATATACCATTTTGGTGTTCATCTTGTCAGACATTACAACACATGGCCTCTTGGTACAGAAAACACCTTGGACAACCCCTTTCAAGTGAGAACTGTTGGATCTGAGAGGGACCTGACATCTCAGTGGCTACATTCTCACTACTACTACTACTCTGCACCTCTCCTTCCAACAGTACTTAAGTCTCCACACTGTCGCTTGATCTTCAGATAGTTCCTGACTATGGAACTGAACTTCTCCAGGCTGAGGGACTGACAACCTCAAAATTCTACGACTTCAAGGGTGATGGACTGATTACATCATCTTCACATCTCTACTGTTCCTGCCTACTTTCTGTATTCGACTGAAGAAGCCTACTGTGTAGGCGAAACGTTTTGGAATAAAGTTGCCTACCTGTTGCCTATGTGTCTTACCTACCAACCTGTCGGTATTGTATACCATTTTGGTATTCAAGCATATATATACACACCCCTCTGGGTTTTCTTCTATTTTCTTACTAGTTCTTGTTCTTGTTTATTTCCTCTTATCTCCATGGGGAAGTGGAACAGAATTCTTCCTCCATAAGCTATGCGTGTTGTAAGAGGCGACTAAAATACCAGGAGCAAGGGGCTAGTAACCCCTTCTCCTGTATAAATTACTAAATTTAAAAAGAGAAACTTTCGTTTTTCTTTTTAAGCCACCCTCACTTGGTGGGATACGGCCGGTTTGTCGAAAAAAAAAATTATATTTATGGAAAGTGTAAAAGCTTTAATGGACATTCATCACAGAAAGAAGAACCACCTTGAAACTACACATTCATATCTTCACTTAGATGAGAAACTTATGAATTAAAAGGATATTTATCTTTTAAGAAAGTGAATTAGCTGCTCAGTATTATTCTTATTTGTAATGGTAAGAATATTTTTACAGACATTCTCATTAGTCTTACTGGCAAATTATTAGTGTGGCAATAAAATGTTTAAGTATAAACAGCAAACAAATCATTATTTTTTAACACTTGTCAATCCAGTTTTAACTTAGTACCAATGAATCCCTTATATTAACTACTATATACAATACCTATCTGCAGCATTTATCTTCATCCAATAAACCACTTATGATTACCCATAAAGGTGTTTTGCCAATCACACTTGGCACGAGGATAAATGACTACACAGTTTATACTGTACTAAGAGCTCTACTATTTTTTTCCTGTTATCTTATCCTATTTTTTATGAAGACCAATACATCTGTTACTCTATGTGTAATCTGGGATGGCATTCAGCAGATAATAGTAAACAATATAAATGACTTTTAAACACTGGCCATTTCCTACCCCTTCTCCCCCCCCCCCCCAAAAAAAAAAATAAAAACAAGAGGAAACAGGATCACTATCATTCACTCAACCATCTGAACTGCAACATCCTCATCCCTCCTATAGAGTACAGACACTGTACTTCTCATCTTGAGGACTCGAGTAAAACTAACCAGTTTTCCCAGAATCCCTTCATAACCATTACCTTGTTTATACTCCAACATCAAGACATAAAAATCTATCTTTTCTGCACTCACTCTGATCTAACCCACTTTAAACAAGCCTGCTAGATGTTTGAGCCTCTAGCACTCAAAACCTCCTTTGCCCTTCATTCCAACTCTTCTTGTAACAATCCCTATCCCTCCCACCTTCCACCCTAGATTTACATACTGTACCCTCTTAGACATCCAATTTTGCTCCATCCTCTCTAAATGCCCAAACCACCTAAACAACCCCTTGTCCTCTGAATCATACTTCTGGTAACCCAACAGTCTTCTAATCACCACATTCCCAATTTTCTGCACGGGGAAGTAGGCGAGAATTCTTCCTCGGTAAGCAATAAGTGTCATGAATGACAACTAAAATATCAGAAGCAAGGAGCTAGTAACCTCTTCTACATAAATTACTAAAAAAAAAAAAAAAAAAAAAAAAAAAAAAAAATCAATGTGTATATTAGCAATTTCTTTAACAAATTCATAAATGATTTTCATTCTTAGTTACATGACACAGATAAAATATATTAGATCCTTGCAGCTAAATCATGCACAGAAAATCTAGTTAAATATTTTCTTGTCAAATCGTTTCGGTACTGGTCTTAACCAAGTTTTAGACTGAAACAATACACCAAATATAAAAAAGGAAATCTATTAATTGTACATTTGATACATGCACTGTAATATAAAGCTTACCTTAATTTCTGGAGAATCATTCTCTTTAGTTTCAAGTCTATCTGAACACTTCTTGTGAGCTGAAAAATACAACATTTATTTCTACAATGACTTCCTTTTAACTTACTTTATACTTTTTAACACATTAGTAATTTTCTGCCTGAGCAGTGTGACCCAAAGGAAAACACATTCATTACAACTCATTCCTTCATTATAAATATATGTCACAGATGCTCATTTAAAATTTATGCAATACATATGTTTTACACGAAAGATTTATGCATCTACATCTTACACATAATTATGATACAAATGTGATGAATCTGATGTAACAAATGATAAAACAACAAACTATAATATTAGCATAAAATCCCAAGTAAGTGCTCTGCATTTCTCAGCATATGTTCCTTACAGACCTGCAAAATACTAAAATATTCAAAAAATTATATTTTTCCTAAGAATCTTTCACTTCTGATGTACTACAGTGAAGGTGTGATGGTGTAGGCATGATGGTGATGGTAATCAGGTAATCAAAAAATGCCTCTTTACATGAGCTACTGTCTACCAAGGTAGGGTGACCCAAAGAAGGAAACACATTTACATCATATATACAACGTACATGGCACAGCACACACAAGTTCTGAATGAGTGAGCAAACATTATTAGATAAAGAAAACTTTATGCCTTTATAAGATATATGCATGATAACCAAGTGTAACTTACGTCACACTACATGAGCATGCAGCGACAGCTCATAATGCCAGTACTACCTATACTATTGTATAGGTATTCAACACTTTCACCATCACTCATACATAATCACTGTCTTTGCAGAGGCACTCGAATACGACAGCTTAGAACTTGCACGTAAAAACATGTATATAAACACCCCTCTATTTTCTTATTAGTTGTTGTTTATTTCCTCCATGGGGAATTTATTTATCTCCATGGGGAAATGGAACAGAATTCTTCCTCTGTAAGCCATGCGTGTTGTAAGAGGTGACTAACGAGCCAGGAGCAAGAGGCTAGTAACCCTTCTCCTGTATACATTACCAAAGTTTAAAAGAGAGACTTTCATTTTTCTTTTTGGGTCACCCTGCTTCAGTGGGATACGGCCGGTTTGTTGAAAGAAAAAAACACTCTTCTTCAAAGCAGAAGAGCTGTCAATTTAGCCTTGTCGCTCACCAGTGTCATACTTATAAATAGGAGCAAACTGATTCAACAAATATACAATTCAATCCTACCAGCATTTCCAAGTAGCAGAGCACTGCAATAAGCCTAACAACCCTTCCATGCTTAAATACACCCACCACCTCTCCACTTTTACATAACGAACTACCCTCTTTTCTAAGATGTATGTATGAGCATGTCTTTGATTTCCTACATTCACTCGAGAAAGTTCACTACATTTCAACAAAATGTCATGCACCTCTATTAATGAAGCTTTTCTGTTGTCTCGAGTCTATTTTACTACTTGAAAACTGATGCTGCAATTTCACAACCAAGTACAAAGTCAAAACAGAATGCAGAGTTAAAAAGATTTTCTAGCACCATAAAAAGGAAGAACAAATGGCCATACTATAGTTGTTACGTTATGTGGACGACGTCCTCATAATAACTCCCAAACATTTTGATGTGCGGAATCTTCATTTAAGGCTCAACGCAGTTGAACCAGCTATCCAGTTTTCACTAGAAGAGTCCAATGATAAGCTTCCTTTTCTAGATGTCCTCATTCACAAAGTAGATAATCTAAGATTTCAAGTTTACCATAAACCTACAAACAAAAATGATCTCACTCCTATTCCAGGCAAGATACTATGACCAAAAGAGGAATCATCATGATTTTTCCTAAGAGCATACCAAATTTGTAGTCCAGAGTTTCTTGATAAGGAACGTACTTACATACACCAAACCTTCAGTGATTTACATTTTCCTTCCTTTTTCATCAAAAACTGCAAGAAAAAGAGCTCTTCAGATAATCAATTTTCCATGCATCAACACCACTCCTAACAAAGTTATAATCCTTTCGAACAGCCAGGTTGCACTGAACGTTTCTAAGGTACTCGCACAAACTAACACTAGAGTTGCCATCACATCCAGCACTTCCATAAGGGATCAAACCAGGACAAAATCGAACCACCACGACCCAGTCAATGCAGGAGTTTACACTATACCTTGTGGAAGCTGAACAGAATACTATATGTAGGTGAAACAGCAAGGAACCTTGAAACACATCTCAATAAACATATTAATGCATGTAGGAACAATAACCTGAACAACTCCTGCGTACAACACCGGAATTCCAACAATCACCTCATGAAATTCAACGACGCCCAACTAGTGATCAGAGAACCTAATTTCTGTAGACATAAATGCCTTGAATCATCATTAATCGCAGTTTCTAACACAAGCAAAATAAAGGCAACTTCATCATCTCTGAAGTATTAGCAAAAATCCTCCTCAAAACAATAAACCCTGCCATCACACAGTCACTGCTGCTAATACTACACAAGAACACAACAGAGGAGGAACACTGAAACAGGCCTTTTCAAATCCAATCACTAACAGGAATATTTGTCAAACCTATTTTTTTGTTATCCAAGTAATAGCTTTTATAACCTTTAACTCATGTGCAAGTTGATTGTTTTACCACACTGTATTACTACAACTATTACTACTACCACCATAGTATTACGCCTAATTCTAACCCTATACATACCCTCTGTGTCTATGTACTGTTTGTAATGGTTTGATAAAGCTTCTGGAGAGTGAAACGCTGCCACAATAAAATGTCACATTAGTTGTACTTGTGTCCTTTTACCTAACATATTGTCAGTAATTCTACCAACATTAATATAGGAAGAATTTTGTTCCACTTCCCCGTGGAGACAAGAGGAAATAAACAAGAACTGCTAAGAAAATTAAAGAAAACCCAAAAGGGTGTGCATATATATGCTTGTACATGTATGTGCAGTGTGACCTAAGTTTAAGTAGAGGTAGCAAGATGTACCTGAAATCTTGCATGTTTCTTTCTTCTTTCAACAAACAGGCCGTATCCCTCCAAGGCAGGGTGGCTCAAAAAGAAAAACGAAAGTTTCTCTTTTTAATTTAGTAATTTATACAGAAGGGGTTACTAGCCCCTTGCTCCCAGCAATTTAGTTGCCTCTTACAACACGCATGGCTTATGGAGGAAGAATTCTGTTCCACTTCCCCATGGAGATAAGAGGAAATAAACAAGAACAAGAACTAGAAAGAAAATAGCAGAAAACCCAGAGGGGTATGTGTGTGTGTATATATATGCTTGTACATGTATGTGTAGTGTGACCTAAGTGTAAGTAGAAGTAGCAAGACGTACCTGAAATCTTGCATGTTTATGAGTCAGAAAAAAGACACCAGCAATCCCACCATCATGTAAAACAACTACAGGCTTCCGTTTTACACTCACTTGGCAGGATGGTAGTACCTCCTTGGGCAGTTGCTGTCTACCAACCTACTACCTAGTTACCCATACTATATTATAGTTTTTTTTTTTTTTATTATCACACTGGCCGATTCCCACCAAGGCAGGGTGGCCCGAAAAAGAAAAACTTTCACCATCATTCACTCCATCACTGTCTTGCCAGAAGGGTGCTTTACACTACAGTTTTTAAACTGCAACATTAACACCCCTCCTTCAGAGTGCAGGCACTGTACTTCCCATCTCCAGGACTCAAGTCCGGCCTGCCGGTTTCCCTGAATCCCTTCATAAATGTTACTTTGCTCACACTCCAACAGCACGTCAAGTATTAAAAACCATTTGTCTCCATTCACTCCTATCAAACACGCTCACGCATGCCTGCTGGAAGTCCAAGCCCCTCGCACACAAAACCTCCTTTACCCCCTCCCTCCAACCCTTCCTAGGCCGACCCCTACCCCGCCTTCCTTCCACTACAGACTGATACACTCTTGAAGTCATTCTGTTTCGCTCCATTCTCTCTACATGTCCGAACCACCTCAACAACCCTTCCTCAGCCCTCTGGACAACAGTTTTGGTAATCCCGCACCTCCTCCTAACTTCCAAACTACGAATTCTCTGCATTATATTCACACCACACATTGCCCTCAGACATGACATCTCCACTGCCTCCAGCCTTCTCCTCGCTGCAACATTCATCACCCACGCTTCACACCCATATAAGAGCGTTGGTAAAACTATACTCTCATACATTCCCCTCTTTGCCTCCAAGGACAAAGTTCTTTGTCTCCACAGACTCCTAAGTGCACCACTCACCTCTTTTTCCCTCATCAATTCTATGATTCACCTCATCTTTCATAGACCCATCCGCTGACACGTCCACTCCCAAATATCTGAATACGTTCACCTCCTCCATACTCTCTCCCTCCAATCTGATATTCAATCTTTCATCACCTAATCTTTTTGTTATCCTCAAAACCTTACTCTTTCCTGTATTCACCTTTAATTTTCTTCTTTTGCACACCCTACCAAATTCATCCACCAATCTCTGCAGCTTCTCTTCAGAATCACCCAAGAGCACAGTGTCATCAGCAAAGAGCAGCTGTGACAACTCCCACTTTGTGTGTGATTCTTTATCTTTTAACTCCACGCCTCTTGCCAAGACCCTCGCATTTACTTCTCTTACAACCCCATCTATAAATATATTAAACAACCACAGTGACATCACACATCCTTGTCTAAGGCCTACTTTTACTGGGAAAAAATTTCCCTCTTTCCTACATACTCTAACTTGAGCCTCACTGTCCTCGTAAAAACTCTTCACTGCTTTCAGTAACCTACCTCCTACACCATACACTTGCAACATCTGCCACATTGCCCCCCTATCCACCCTGTCATACGCCTTTTCCAAATCCATAAATGCCACAAAGACCTCTTTAGCCTTATCTAAATACTGTTCACTTATATGTTTCACTGTAAACACCTGGTCCACACACCCCCTACCTTTCCTAAAGCCTCCTTGTTCATCTGCTATCCTATTCTCCGTCTTACTCTTAATTCTTTCAATTATAACTCTACCATACACTTTACCAGGTACACTCAACAGACTTATCCCCCTATAATTTTTGCACTCTCTTTTATCCCCTTTGCCTTTATACAAAGGAACTATGCATGCTCTCTGCCAATCCCTAGGTACCTTACCCTCTTCCATACATTTATTAAATAATTGCACCAACCACTCCAAAACTATATCCCCACCTGCTTTTAACAGCTGAAAAAGTAATGCTAATAAGATACCACACAGCATTTCTTCACAAAGTGGTAGAACAATTGCTACAACCAACAGATATTAAGTTTTTAACACACTTGCTCTCTCTCACTAAGGTAGGGTGACAAGAAAATAGGTAGGGTGACAAGAAAATAGAGAAACCTGGCTATCATCATTCATTAATTAGCTGTCTGGCTAGAAGTGCAGACATAATTCAAATGGCTTTCCGAACAGCAATATTTTTACCCCTTTTTTTTAGAATGCAGGCACTGTACTTCCACCTCCAGGACTCTTCGTTCAGCAAACAATTTACCCCTGAATATTTTATAAATGTTACTGTTATTACAGCACATCAGACCATGAAAACCACTTATCTCCACTCATTCTGATCTGGCATACTCTCACAAGTCTGGTGGATGCTCCAACCCCAGGCAATCAACAGGAAGGCCTGGCCCAAGGCTGGGCTGCAGGAGTGGGAAACCCCCTAAAACAGGTCACAGGTAAATTAAAAAGCAAAAGAATAATTAAATTCAAAACTCCTTTACCACTTCCCTTCAACCCTTCCTGGAACCACCATCCCTCCTTTCTTACATCCCCAATTTATACACCCTCATCATCCTGTTCTGCTTCATCCTCTTTAAATTCCCAAATTCTCTCAACACTTTCCCCCTCAGCCCTCCAAATTATGCTTTTGGTAACCCCACACCTTCTAATTTCTTTGCTTAAATTCTTTGTTTAATATTTACACCACTCATCACCCTCAAAAATAACATCACTGGCTCTAACCTCCTCCTCATAGAAACCTTCAAAGCCTCGCACCCACATACAGTACTCTAGTGCATTTCCTTTTTTCCTCCAAAAATAAAATTCTTTTATTCCACTGAAGATGGTACACCATGATTATAGCTCTGCTCCTGTAGTTATAAGGAAGTAATAGGCAATCAAACAGCTCACAGCACAAGCCACAAGTGGTGAAGATAAGTGATTTTCACTACCCAAGGGCAAAGCTTTGTTCCAATAGGAACTTATGGTGTCATGTCATTATTATTATAATTATGGGGGAGAGCTAAACCTGTAGGATTATACAGCGCATGTGAGGAGGGGGATGGAAGGTATTCAGACTTAATTCAGGGAACCGGAGCACAGATCCAATTTCCTAGATCAAGAGCCCCTCACCAGCATCAAGGAACCTCCCTTCAGGGGTAGTGTCATGTCAATGATGAGAGAATACAGGCAAAATAACAGACTGCAAGTAGTACTGTAAAACAATTATTATATCTAACCTTGAAGTTAGGGAATATTCTCTAGTAGATTCATGAGGCCTCTTAATTGATTTGCACTATACGTATTTATATACAGTTTGAAGAAAATGAAAATTTTTATAATTGTAATTATGGTACCTGTCTTGGATTTTTTACTCCTTTGGTGGTTTAATTCTTTTGTCTTACTTTCTTTCTCCATCTCAGTAGGTGATGCCACATTGGTAAGTCCTTCAGTCTTTTGACAACTATTATCAGCTTCATGCTTCTGAAAAAAACATGCCTTTAGTTAATTGCATCTTAAAAAGGAAATCTTGTAAAACTAATAAATATGAATATTCTTACTTGATGGCTATTTTTAGGTCCTCAACTTTCACTCGCAGCAACTGGGAAATCTTCACAGTGCCTCATAATTAATTATAGCATGCAGTCAAGGCTGGATTTGAGGTCATGCCATAACTGTGCAGTGGTTCCCAAACTGGGGGTAAATTACCCCCTGGGGGTAATTTAACCATTTTTGGGGGGTAATGGAGGGGTGACAGAAAAAAAGTTATGAATTCTGAAAATCAAGAAAACAATGCGGTACCCGGTATGAGGATTATTGTTAACTTTGTCTTAGTATATAAAGTTGTAAAGTAAACCTATTATAAGTAAGTAATAAAGTTAAACCAAATAACAATAAACATCAAAAACTAATATACAGTATTAGAAAAGAAGAAATATATAGCTAAGTGTGTGGAAACCCAAAAGTATTTTGACAAGTATGCTTCAGGACAAAAGTCACTCAGTAGCCCAGATCGACCTGTCCAGTACGCGTCACTCACTTCCTGAGGCTGCCTCTATTTCACACTGTCAGTTTATCTGTGAGCATCAGCCGAGGTAGACATAAGCTGGTATGTGTGTGTACTGCCCTGTGCAGTATATAGTTAGTATTTACCCACTGTTACTGTGAATTTGTAGCTATTATTAATTTTATATATAATGTATGTGTGGTTCTTACGTTTTCAATGGTTTTGCTAGGATTAGCAGAGTATGCGAGGCTGTATACGTTCACGTTTAGCCATATATATCAATAATAACAACATTTTGTGAAAGGGGTAACATGCTTTATGCGGCATGTTAAATTGGGTAACAAGCTGAAAAAGTTTGGGAACCAGTGCGCATAACAGATTAGTACAATTCATAATGTACTTACTAAAAGAACCTAATGGGATTCTTGCAAAGGAATTCTATGATGGATGTATAGCCTTATCAGGAGGAAAGGGGAGATGGGGAGAAAACAAATAAATTAAAAGAGGGCCACAATAACAAATTTTACTTAGATGTATAATGCAAAAGTACAATGCCTGCACTTTAAAGGAGGGGTTTGGGATATTGGCAGTTTGGAGGGATATGTTATGTATCTTTATACATTTACACTTCTAAACTGTTGTATTCTGAGCACCTGTGCAAAAACAGTAATTATGTGTGAGTGAGGTGAAAGTGTTGAATGATGATGAAAGTATTTTCTTTTTGGGGATTTTCTTTCTTTTTGGGTCACCCTGCCTCGGTGGGAGACGGATGACTTGTTAAAAAAAAAAAAATTGCTTCTGCTTGTTTACAACATAGACTTGGAGCCCAAAATAATTTATAAAGGAATAAACAAAAAATTTAACTGAAAGTTTTTTGTATTCTCCAAACTAAGTGAGGAATGGGGTAGGTAGAGGTGGACTGCGGCCAAAGTACAGAATGTTTAAGAGGATTGCATTCACTTGTACAATAGAATGGAAGTACCTTCCTGGAGGGTTTCTGCCTACCAGGCTTCTACTTACAATTAAAATTAATAAACATATAAATGACAAAAAACGTCATCCATGGAGGCAAAGAAGGGAATGTAAGAGCATAGTGGTAAGCATGGGTTGTAAATGCTGTAGCAAAGCAGCTGGAGGCAGTGGAGATGTCATGTGGTGTAAATATCACACAGAGAATTTGTAGTGTGGGAATTAGCAGGTGTGGAGTTACTAAAGTATTACAGTGGACCCCCGCTTAACGATCACCTCCCAATGCGACCAATTATGTAAGTGCATTTGTTATAGTAGTAGGTTGGTAGACAGCAACCACCCAGGGAGGTACTACCGTCCTGCCAAGTGAGTGTAAAACAAAAGCCTGTGATTGTTTTACATGATGGTAGGATTGCTGATGTCTTTTGTCTGTCTCATAAATATGCAAGATTACAGGCATGTCTTGCTACTTCTACTTACACTTAGGTCACACTACACATACATGTACACATTTATTTATACACACTCATCTGAGTTTTCTTTGATTTTATCTTAATAGTTCTTGGTCTTATTAATTTTCCTTTTATATCCATGGGGAAGTGGAATAAGAATCTTTCCTCCGTAAGCCATGCGTGTTGTAAAAGTCAACTAAAATGCCGGGAACAATGGGCTAGTAACCCTTTTCCTGTAAAGATTACTAAAAAGAATAAGAAGAAGAAAATTGTCAAAGTGGGAAGTCTGAATGTGCGTGGATGTTGTGCAGATGATAAGAAAGAGATGATTGTGGATGTTATGAATGAGAAGAAGCTGGATGTCCTGGCTTTAAGTGAAACAAAGCTGAAGGGGTGGGAGAGTTTCAGTGGAGAGGAATAAATGGGATTAGGTCAGGGGTTTCAAACAGAGTTAGAGCTAAAGAAGGAGTAGCAATAATGTTGAAGGATAAGCTATGGCAGGAAAAGAGGGACTATAAATGTATTAATTCAAGGATTATGTGGAGTAAAATAAAGATTGGATGTGAAAAGTGGGTTATAATAAGCGTGTATGCACCTGGAGAAGAGAGAAGTTTAGAGGAGAGAGAGAGATTTTTTGGGGAAAAGTTTTAGTGAATGCATGGGAGTTTTGAATCAAGTGTGAGAGTAATGGTGGTTGGGGGATTTCAATGCTAAAGTGGGTAAAAATGTTATGGAGGGAGTAATAGGTAAATTTGGGGTGCCAGGGGTAAATGTAAATGGGGAGCCTTTAATTGAGCTATGTGTAGAAAGAAATTTGGTAATAAGTAATACATATTTTATGAAAAAGAGGATAAAAAAATATACAAGGTATGATGTAGCACGTAATGAAAGTAGTTTATTAGATTATGTATTGGTGGATAAAAGGTTGATGGGTAGGCTCCAGGATGTACATGTTTATAGAGGGGCAACTGATATATCGGATCATTATTTAGTTGTAGCTACAGTTAGAGTAAGAGGTAGATGGGAAAAGAGGAAGGTGGCAACAACAAGTAAGAGGGAGGTGAAAGTGTATAAACTAAGGGAGGAGGAAGTTCGGGTGAGATATAAGCGACTATTGGCAGAAAGGTGGGCTAGTGCAAAGATGAGTAGTGGGGGGGGTTGAAGAGGGTTGGAATAGTTTTAAAAATGCAGTATTAGAATGTGGGGCAGAAGTTTGTGGTTATAGAAGGGTGGGAGCAGGAGGAAAGAGGAGTGATTGGTGGAATGATGAAGTAAAGGGTGTGATAAAAGAAAAAAAGGTAGCTTATGAGAGGTTTTTACAAAGCAGAAGTGTTATAAGAAGAGCAGAGTATATGGAGAGTAAAAGAAAGGTAATGAGAGTGGTGAGAGAGTGCAAAAGGAGAGCAGATGATAGAGTGGGAGAGGCACTGTCAAGAAATTTTAATGAAAATAAGAAAAAATTTTGGAGTGAGTTAAACAAGTTAAGAAAGCCTAGGGAAAATATGGATTTGTCAGTTAAAAACAGAGTAGGGGAGGTAGTAGATGGGGGAGATGGAGGTATTGGGTAGATGGCGAGAATATTTTGAGGAACTTTTAAATGTTTAAGGAAGAAACAGAAGCAGTAATTTCATGCACTGGTCAGGGAGGTATACCATCTTTTAGGAGTGAAGAAGAGCAGAATGTAAGTGTGGGGGAGGTACGTGAGGCATTACGTAAAATGAAAGGGGGTAAAGCAGCTGGAACTGATGGGATCATGACAGAAATGTTAAAAGCAGGGGGGGATATAGTGTTGGAGTGGTTGGTACTTTTGTTTAATAAATGTATGAAAGAGGGGAAGGTACCTAGGGATTGGCGGAGAGCATGTATAGTCCCTTTATATAAAGGGAAAGGGGACAAAAGAGACTGTAAAAATTATAGAGGAATAAGCTTACTGAGTATACCAGGAAAAGTGTACGGTAGGGTTATAATTGAAAGAATTAGAGGTAAGACAGAATGTAGGATTGCGGATGAGCAAGGAGGTTTCAGAGTGGGTAGGGGATGTGTAGATCAAGTGTTTACATTGAAGCATATATGTGAACAGTATTTAGATAAAGGTAGGGAAGTTTTTATTGCATTTATGGATTTAGAAAAGGCATATGATAGAGTGGATAGAGGAGCAATGTGGCAGATGTTGCAAGTATATGGAATAGGTGGTAAGTTATTAAATGCTGTAAAGAGTTTTTATGAGGATAGTGAGGCTCAGGTTAGGGTGTGTAGAAGAGAGGGAGACTACTTCCCGGTAAAAGTAGGTCTTAGACAGGGATGTGTAATGTCACCATGGTTGTTTAATATATTTATAGATGGGGTTGTAAAGGAAGTAAATGCTAGGGTGTTCGGGAGAGGGGTGGAATTAAATTTTGGGGAATCAAATTCAAAATGGGAATTGACACAGTTACTTTTTGCTGATGATACTGTGCTTATGGGAATTCTAAAGAAAAATTGCAAAGGTTAGTGGATGAGTTTTGGGAATGTGTGTAAAGGTAGAAAGTTGAAAGTGAACATAGAAAAGAGTAAGGTGATGAGGGTGTCAAATGATTTAGATAAAGAAAAATTGGATATCAAATTGGGGAGGAGGAGTATGGAAGAAGTGAATGTTTTCAGATACTTGGGAGTTGACGTGTCGGCGGATGGATTTATGAAGGATGAGGTTAATCATAGAATTGATGAGGGAAAAAAGGTGAGTGGTGCGTTGAGGTATATGTGGAGTCGAAAAACGTTATCTATGGAGGCAAAGAAGGGAATGTATGAAAGTATAGTAGTACCAACACTCTTATATGGGTGTGAAGCTTGGGTGGTAAATGCAGCAGCGAGGAGACGGTTGGAGGCAGTGGAGATGTCCTGTTTAAGGGCAATGTGTGGTGTAAATATTATGCAGAAAATTCGGAGTGTGGAAATTAGGAGAAGGTGTGGAGTTAATAAAAGTATTAGTCAGAGGGCAGAAGAGGGGTTGTTGAGGTGGTTTGGTCATTTAGAGAGAATGGATCAAAGTAGAATGACATGGAAAGCATATAAATCTATAGGGGAAGGAAGGCGGGGTAGGGGTCGTCCTCGAAAGGGTTGGAGAGAGGGGGTAAAGGAGGTTTTGTGGGCAAGGGGCTTGGACTTCCAGCAAGCGTGCGTGAGCGTGTTAGATAGGAGTGAATGGAGACGAATGGTACTTGGGACCTGACGATCTGTTGGAGTGTGAGCAGGGTAATATTAGTGAAGGGATTCAGGGAAACCGGTTATTTTCATATAGTCGGACTTGAGTCCTGGAAATGGGAAGTACAATGCCTGCACTTTAAAGGAGGGGTTTGGGATATTGGTAGTGTGGAGGGATATGTTGTGTATCTTTATATGTGTATGCTTCTAGACTGTTGTATTCTGAGCACCTCTGCAAAAACAGTGATAATGTGCGAGTGTGGTGAAAGTGTTGAATGATGATGAAAGTATTTTCTTTTTGGGGATTTTCTTTCTTTTTTGGGTCACCCTGCCTCGGTGGGAGACGGCCGACTTGTTGAAAAAAAAAAAAAAAAAAAAATTTGTACGTGTATGTTTGGGGGTCTGAAATGGACTAATCTACTTCACAATATTCCTTATGGGAACAAATTCGGTCAGTACTTGCACCTGAACATACTTCTGGAATGAAAAAATATCGTTAACTGGGGGTCCACTGTATTTAGAGGGCTGATGAGGGGTTGTTGAGGTGGTTTGGTCATTTTGAGAGGACGGAGCAAAATAGGATAACTTGGAGGGTGTATAAATCTGTAATGGAGGGGATGAGAGGTAGGATTCATCCTAGGAAAGGATGGAGGGAGGGGGTAAAATAGGTTTTGTGTGCAAGGGGCTTGGATATGCAGCAGGCATGTGTGAACATGTTAGATAGGAGTAAATGGAGATGAATGGTTTTTGGGACCTGACAAGCTGTTGGAGTACGAGCAGGGTAATATTTTGTGAAGGGATTCAGGGAAACCGGTTAGCTGGACTTGAATCCTAGAAGTGGGACGTACAATGCCTGCACTTTAAAGGAGGGGTTTGGGATATTGGCTGTTTGGAGTGACACCTAAATTATCATACCAGTGTGTCTTTGCAAAGACAGTAATTGTGTCTTAATACACAAAAAAATAAATGGGAAACTTCTGTCTGTCATTAATGAAAAAAAGACTAAAGACACTTTAAATGACCACTTTACACATGTTTTAGCATAAGAAAATTTTGAGTACCTATCAATTTCTGCAGGTGTTTCTTTTTACAGGTCAACCTACCTCAGTAAGAGACAGCAGGTGTTAAAAAAAAAAAATCCATAATGCTGCTTCAAAGAACTTTGCATACTATTTTTAAAGTGCTTACCTTAGGCTGAGAACTAATGCTGTCATATATATCATCTGATTCTGACGATGATAGCCTCAAAGGACTGATATCTGCTTTTCTTTTCCCAGGGGATGCTAGAAAAAATAAGTTATATCATTACATTAGGTGCAATGGCTAACACCTTTTTAAAATATATAAATATGACATTAAGATTAATGACATTAAGATTAATGACTAGGGGGAAAGGGCTAAACTCATAGGGGTCATATATATAGTGTCTTGGGAATGAGAAGCATTCACTCAAAGTACAGAGAGAATAAATTCAGTTCCATAGATCAAGAGCCCCTTACCAGTATCAAAGCACCTCTTGAGTGGTGGCTAATATTATAACTATAAAAACTAGACACATTATTTAAGCAACTATATACTGTCACATTATGGTTAATTTTATGCATCTTGGACTATTTTTTTATGAAACTCTCAAAACTCATCAAAGGTATATGTAACATCTCATCCATTAGCTTATTGCTCAAAGAGATAATTTATTCTGATTAATAAGTCACAATAGACTGGCTGCAATAATTCACAACTACAGTGGTACCTCGGGTTACAAACTTAATTCGTTCCAGAAGGCTGTTCGAGTGCCGATACCGAACAAATTTGTTCCCGTACGGAATAATGTAAATTAGATTAATCCATTTCAAACCCCCCAAAAATACACTTACAAAAATCCACTTGCATAATTGTTCGAGCTGGGAGCTGTTCGTAATCCAAGGTATCACTGTACTAGTAATCTACAAATTAGAGATAAAGCTTGGATGACAATTTGATCCGGTCTAGACATTTATCTTCACAATAAATGTCCAGGGCAGACCAGTTAGTTATTAAATGCTTTTGGTTATTCAGTGCTAACTACCAAATTTATACTACAGGTCGGCCATCATTAATCCAGCAATCAGTTATCTGGTTCCATCAGTACTCCAGCACTAGCTTCGGCTAGCATAATTTCAAATTTCATCATTTTACTGACTCAGAAATTGTGCAGATGGTTGTAAATCCACAGCAGCAAGCCAGTGGAGAAGAAAGCAGTGATGAAAATGAGGAAGATGTAGCAGAAATTCTCTCTATTGATAGGCTAATTAAGTGTATTCTAGCCTAACCACTCTGTAATCCGGCAAACTCACTAATCCAGTACACTGCAGGTCCCAATGATGTCGGATTAGCGTTGGCTGACCTGTATGTAAATGAAGTTGCTATTGTTGTGACCAATTCACTGTCATATTACTGAAATTAATTATAAAGTAAATAAAAATAATCCAAGTTAATTTTTCACATTCTACAAGCTTTTTTTTTTTTTTTAACAAGTTCAAGATAAAGAATCACACACAAAGTGTGAGTTGTCACAGTTGCTCTTTGTTGATGACACTGTGCTCTTGGGAGATTCTGAAGAGAAGTTGCAGAGATTGGTGGATGAATTTGGTAGGGTATGCAAAAGAAGAAAATTAAAAGTGAATACAGGAAAGAGTAAGGTTATGAGGATAACAAAAAGATTAGGTGATGAAAGATTGGATATCAGATTGGAGGGAGAGAGTATGGAGGAGGTGAATGTATTCAGATATTTGGGAGTGGATGTGTCAGCGGATGGGTCTATGAAAGATGAGGTGAATCATAGAATTGATGAGGGGAAAAGGGTGAGTGGTGCACTTAGGAGTCTGTGGAGACAAAGAACTTTGTCCTTGGAGGCAAAGAGGGGAATGTATGAGAGTATAGTTTTACCAACGCTCTTATATAGGTGTGAAGCATGGGTGATGAATGTTGCAGCGAGGAGAAGGCTGGAGGCAGTGGAGATGTCATGTCTGAGGGCAATGTGTGGTGTGAATATAATGCAGAGAATTCGTAGTTTGGAAGTTAGGAGGAGGTGCGGGATTACCAAAACTGTTGTCCAGAGGGCTGAGGAAGGGGTGTTGAGGTGGTTCGAACATGTAGAGAGAATGGAGTGAAACAGAATGACTTCAAGAGTGTATCAGTCTGTAGTGGAAGGAAGGCGGGGTAGGGGTCGGCCTAGGAAAGGTTGGAGGGAGGGGTTAAAGGAGGTTTTGTGTGCGAGGGGCTTGGACTTCCAGCAGGCATGCGTGAGCGTGTTTGATAGGAGTGAATGGAGACAAATGGTTTTTAATACTTGATGTGCTGTTGGAGTGTGAGCAAAGTAACATTTATGAAGGGGTTAAGGGAAACCGGCAGGCCGGACTTGAGTCCTGGAGATGGGAAGTACAGTGCCTGCACTCTGAAGGAGGGGTGTTAATGTTGCAGTTTAAAAACTGTAGTGTAAAGCACCCTTCTGGCAAGACAGTGATGGAGTGAATGATGGTGAAAGTTTTTCTTTTTCGGGCCACCCTGCCTTGGTGGGAATCGGCCAGTGTGATAATAAAAAAATAATACTCTACTCTTCTTATAACACTTCTGCTTTGTAAAAACCTCTCATAAGCTACCTTTTTCTCTTTTATCACACCCTTTACTTCATCATTCCATCAATCACTCCTCTTTCCTCCTGCACCCACCCTCCTATAACCACAAACTTCTGCCCCACATTCTACTGCTGAATTTTTAAAACTATTCCAACCCTCTTCAACCCCCCCACTATTCATAATTGCACCAGCCCACCTTTCTGCCAATAGTTGCTTATATTTCGCCCGAACTTCCTCCTCCCTTAGTTTATACACTTTCACCTCCCTCTTACTTGTTGTTGCCATTTTCCTCTTATCCCATCTACCTCTTACTCTAACTGTAACTACAACTAGATAATGATCTGATATATCAGTTGCCCCTCTATAAATGTGTACACCCTGAAGCCTACCCATCAACCTTTTATCCACCAATACATAATCTAACAAACTACTTTCATTACGTGCTATATCATACGTTGTATATTTATTTATCCTCTTTTTCATAAAATATGTATTACTTATTGCCAAACCTCTTTCTACACGTAACTCAATTAAAGGCTCCCCATTTTCATTTACCCCTGGCACCCCAAATTTACCTACTACTCCCTCCACAACATTTTTACCCACTTTAGCATTGAAATCCCCAACCACAAGTACTCTCACACTTTGTTCAAAACTCCCCAAGCATTCACTCAACATTTCCCAAAAACTCTCTCCTCTACATTTCTCTCTTCCCCAGGTGCATATATGCTTACTATAACCCACTTTTCACATCCAACCTTTATTTTACTCCACATAATCCTTGAATTAATACATTTATACTCCCTCTTTTCCTGCCATAGCTTATCCTTCAACATTTGTGCTACTCCTTCTTTAGTTCTAACTCTATTTGAAACCCCTGACCTAATCCCATTTATTCCTCACCACTGAAACTCTCCCACACCCTTCAGCTTTGTTTCACTTAAAGCCAGGACATCCAGCTTCTTCTCATTCATAACATCCACAATCATCTCTTTCTTATCATTTGCACAACATCCACACACATTCAGACATCCCACTTTGAAAATTTTCTTCTTCTTATTCTTTTTAGTAATTATTACAGGAAAATGGGTTACTAGCCCATTGTTCCCAGCATTTTAGTTGACTTTTACAACATGCATGGCTTACGGAGGAAAGATTCTAATTCCACTTCCCCATGGATATAAAAGGAAAAGTAATAACAAACAAGAACTATTAACCCTTTCAGGGTCCAAGGCCCAAATCTGGAGTCACGCACCAGTGTCCAAGAATTTAAAAAAAAAAAATTGTTATTTTTTCTTATGAAATCGTAGAGAATCTTTTTGTGAAGGTAATAAAACAAAAAGTACGAAATTTGGTGGAAAATTGACGAAATTATGCTCTCGCGAATTTTGATGTGTCAGCGATATTTACGAATCGGCGATTTTGCCGACTTTGACTCCCATTTTAGGCCAATTACATTATTCCAATCAACCAAATTCTTAGCTATTTCACTAGTATTACTTCTATTCTATCGATTGAGCACAAGAAATCGCCAAGTCAACTGTTTCAAACTACAAAATAAAGTGATCGGAAATTGTTAATTTGGCCAATTTAACACAAAATTCAAAATATTCCAATTTCAAAATAGGGTCCAGAATGAACAATGTAGGCATTCCTGGCACTAAACTAACATTTCCTCTGTTCATTAGTTATGTTTTGAGGCTTTACAAATAAATTCCATTTTGATTTTTTATTCACATAATGAATTTTTATTCACACCAAAAAATAGAAGATTTACTGTTATGCAATACTGTAATAATTGTATAAATATCATCACCATATTTGTGAATGTATATTAGACCCTCCAGCTGATATGTATTAGACATGTGAGGTCGTTTGTTTACTCTTGAATATCGGCAAAAATTTAACATTTCCGCTACTTTGAGCTCAGTTTCAAGCCATTTCCAATGCTAAAACCAATCAAAATCATCTCTATTTCTGTAATATGTCTTCCATTCTATCGAATGAGACCAAGAAATCGCAAATACAACTATAAAAAACATACGAAAAAACACTGCCAAGTTGCTGTTTTAATCGAAAAATCATGATTTCATTTTTTTTCTCTCATTATACACAGTGTGCTGCAGGATCTGTTTTATGTGGTGCACACATACCACATAGATGTATTCTCTCATATCTAGGCCCAAATGTACCACTCACAGTTTATCAGAGTGAGCTGAGCTCATGGCGTAGATCTACGGTTTGGACCCTGAACGTAAAGCCGTAGATCTACGGGACGGACCCTGAAAGGGTTAAGATAAAATCTAAGAAAACTCAGATGAGTGTGTATAGCTAAACATGTACATGTATGTGTAGTGTGACCTAAGTGTAAGTAGAGGTAGCAAGACATACCTGTAATCTTGCATATTTATGAGACAGACAAAAGACACCAGCAATCCTACCATAATATAAAACAATTACAGGCTTTCGTTTTACACTTACTTGGCATGACGGTAGTACCTCCCTGGGTGGTTGCTGTCTACCAACCTACTACCTACTATACCTACAAGCTATATCCATAATTCACTATCACTGGTCATGTGTGTTAGCAAATTAAGACAGGAAAATCTCCCCACCATTTACTCTAAGAGAGATACTGAGTTCTTAGTCATGCAAGCACTCTGTTCCTATGGGTAGAGTGGCTCCCCTCCCAAAGAAGAGGCCCTTAACCCTAGGGGTTAATTGTGAAAATCACAATTTAGATAAGAGAAAGACAGCTAATTTCAGTATCTAAACTTACAGGTCTTCCAGGACCAAAATTTTGCAGACAATAAGCTTCCATTCAGGTGCATTAATTCTCATTAGGATGTTCAGAATGCAGTACATTTAGTGTCAAATTTAGGCCACAAAACCACATATCAGGCATACAAATATTTCACCTTAAGCCATTTTCATTATTTTTGGTCTAAAATATTATTATACAACATAATTTTCATTCTCCAATTATTATATTCCTGTGAAGAGTTAAACCCATAAGAATCATACACTGCCTGGAGAATGGGAAGTAAGAGAGTTTAATCCAAGGAGGTAAGGGTAGATCCAATTGTTTGGAACAAGAGCCCTTTACCAGCATCAAAATACCCCTCTTGAAGGATATATTTTCCAAGATTAGATTAAATGATCAAAAATGAAATACAGGATTACCAAAAAAAAAAAAAAAAAAAAAAAAAAAAAAAAAAAATTGTACAGTACAATGAAGTTATTAACCCTTAAACTGTCCAAACATAGATCTACGTTTTTTCAACATTTGAAAGTATGTAAAAAAAAAGCAATCTTTTTTTTTTTTTACATTTGAAAACATGTAAAAAAAACTTTGATCTTTTTTTTTATTTGAAAATATGTAAAAAAAAACGAAGATCTACTTTTGGAGCACTACGCATGTGAACGTAAATCTGTTTGGACAGTTTAAGGGTTAATGACCATGTATCAAATATAAAATTTTTTGCAAACATCCCTATGAAAGAGATTTAATTTCTGCCAATCTGGACTTAATGCTCCAAGTGATTTCTGAGAGAAACAGGGTACATTATTATAAACCTTAAAATGCTTACCACCAACATTTTGCTTTGGACTTGAACTTAAATTTTTAACTTTTTTGGTTAGGAAAGATCGGTGTGGAGAGTGAGTTGTCAGGGAGGCTTTGCTGGCCTGTTTCTCTAATGAAGCATAGCTGGCCAGCTCAAGAATGCGTGACAAGTTAGCTTCTGCACGAGCTTTGGTCTCTTTATTTAAACCTATTTCTGCAATAAAAATGAAACATGTATTCAATATATAGTAGCTAAATAAGCAATAATATATGTAGGGTTGTGCCATAGTACATAGGTGAATACTGGCCAATTTTGGTGGTACCTGTATCAGCCTGAAACCAAGTATCAGTATCCATGAGTATCGGCAAATTGTGATGGTATTAGTATCAATACCAGTATTAGTGGGTATCAGCTAATTTTGATGGTATAAGTACCAGCCTAAAAACTGAGTAGTATTGGTATTGGCAAAAAAAAATTATAGTGTCCCATCCTTAATGTAGGTATGTTCACATACAATATATGTATACAAAGGATGTGCAAGAGAATACAGTACTGTATTAATACAGTGGAACCTCTGTACTTGAACAGCTCTGTACTCAAACAATTCGGTATTCGAATGCTTTGTTCAGTAAACAAATCGCTTGGTACTCAACTGTTTGCTCAGCACTCGATCAAACAAACACGACCTGCCAGAACTTCATGTTTCTTCATATTGTTTGGCGTTTTTTATATTATTTGTATAAATAAGTCACCATGGGGCCTAAGAGGGTTAGTAATAACAGCCAACCAAAAAGAAAATTGGTTGGAAAAAATTTGTTCTGTACTCGAACAGATCGGCACTCGAACAGCCTTCTGGAACCAGTTAAGGCTGCGTGCCGAGGTTCCACTGTACGTATTAAGAAAAGTGTTAAATCTGCAAAGATAATTAAGAACTGTGCCAAAATCAGTTTACCTCTGTGTACAGTTCCTGAAGAACACCCATGTGAATAGATTCCCTGATGAATCTGAAATTAAAAAGCACCAACATATTATAACTCAATTTCTTAAAGGGTTACATCTTTGTATTACTACCCTTCCAGTAAACAGCAACTGCAAAATGTTAATAAAAATTTATAACAAAAAAAGGCACAATACCATGACTGGAACGATACACAAATAACCCGCACATAAAAGAGAGATGCCCGGGTGTTGCACATGTGTCTTAATTTCATCTTATCGGTATTATGTATATACCATTCTTGTACTACTACTACCACCACCTCTTTCTGCCTATATATAGCCGTCCTGCTCCACTTCTGGTTAGTGTGACTTTGTAAATGGTCCAAGTCGGACCAAAACGTCGTCGTAAGCTTCTCTCTTTTATGTGCAGGTTATTTGTGTAATAAAAATTTAATTTTACTATGACAAAATACAGTAATTGAACTTTCAAAATATCTAAAAGTAAAGAAAATAACACAACCTGGTTTCCCATACCTTAGGTATGACAGACTTGAGTAATCCCCAACTTGAACTTGTTTGCAAAAACTGTATGTCATTACAGTGATACCTCTTATATCCGAACTATATGGGCTGAGACCGGTTCGGAAACAGTTTCCAGATACATGAGGGGTACATTGTGCATCCATACTGTCATATTGCCATCCGTACCCCGTTATATCACCATTGGCGACGGCGTTGAAGGTTTAAAAAATGAGTCCAACATTGTCTGGTGGTGGGACCAGACAATCTGGGCTCAAATAACAGCCTCCCAGATTTCATGGACCACAAGACCATAACTTTTGAAATGGGCTGTGGACAGTGGATGTTCCAAATACTACTCCAAAAGTGTTTTGACACCTGCCCTTGCTACGGAGGCATTGGGTCGTCGTCGACACTTTCGGAATGTTCCAGGTGCAACACTGATTCTGCAGTCTCTGCAGATGCCTTGAAGTCTGACAGGCCAATCTGCTTGCTGAATTTTTCCGCAGCCATTTTAAGTTTTGTGCCACAAACCATCGTACCGCTACCATGTTGTTGTAGGTACCACTTCATCACGCAATGATCGAGTTCCAAGCTCTGTGGCTTTGCCATCACTTTTCTTTTGGCAGAAAACTCACTTGTGCCATAATCTTATCATGAGCCTTCTTGATATCACAGAGGATCAAACTTTGGGTGGCAAGGGTAGCGAAGAGCATGTCTCCTAGTAGCCAATCAGTACACTAAAGTGAGCGCCAAGTTTGATTCAGCCTTCTGCCATATCCAAATGGCTTTTCGGATGTTTCGGTAATAATTTTAGAATTTTGCCCTTTCCCAGGGCCTGTTCGGATAATGGTAAGGTTCGGATAATGGCAGGCTGGATATGCGAGGTATCACTGTATTTGTTTCCGACAGTCAGGGGCAAGTGCTAAGCCACTAGAGGGCATATAGAACCTTGCAAATGAAAGGCATTCAGGTTTGATCCAATGAAGGGGAAGATTGTTCCATTTCCTTGGATCAAGAGCCCCTCAATGACAACACACTTCCCTTGAAGGAGCATTATCTCTTAAACCTATTCCTCAAAACTTGTCACCAAAACCAATATCAACTTTGTAAAAAACCAAGCAGAGCACAGTATCTTGGCGATTAACAGCTGCTGTGAAGATACTCCGTAATTATGTTGAGGAGAGTGAAAGGGAAGAATTAGATTTTCTTTAGATTGTTAAAGCCAACATGCAGTCATCTTCCTCAGGATGCAACCTACAACCATCGACTCACACCTAGGTACATATTTATTGCTGGTTGAATAGGGGCAGCAGGTGTAAGGAGACTTGCCCACGACTCTCCTACAAATCAAACACTGGTTCTTTCAGTTATGAGCAGAATATTCTACCAATGAGCTGCACTATCTAATTAGAATTAAAGTGACACTATGCAACTACAAAAAAACAAACAAAAAAACGTACTAACTCAAACAAAGCAATGAAAGTTATGGACACCTAGTTTTCTCTCTGCTATTTATTTATTTATTTACTATCACACTGGCTGATTCCCACCAAGGCAGGGTGGCCCGAAAAAGAAAAACTTTCACCATCATTCACTCCATCACTGTCTTGCCAGAAGGGTGCTTTACACTACAGTTTTTAAACTGCAACATTAACACCCCTCCTTCAGAGTGCAGGCACTGTACTTCCCATCTCCAGGACTCAAGTCCGGCCTGCCGGTTTCCCTGAACCCCTTCATAAATGTTACTTTGCTCACACTCCAACAGCACGTCAAGTATTAAAAACCATTTGTCTCCATTCACTCCTATCAAACACGCTCATGCATACCTGCTGGAAGTCCAAGCCCCTCGCACACAAAACCTCCTTTACCCCCTCTCTCCAACCTTTCCTAGGCTGACCCCTACCCCGCCTTCCTTCCACTACAGACTGATACACGCTTGAAGTCATTCTGTTTCGCTCCATTCTCTCTACATGTCCGAACCACCTCAACAACCCTTCCTCAGCTCTCTGGACAACAGTTTTGGTAATCCCGCACCTCCTCCTAACTTCCAAACTACGAATTCTCTGAATTATATTCACACCACACATTGCCCTCAGACATGACATCTCCACTGCCTCCAGCCTTCTCCTCGCTGCAACATTCATCACCCATGCTTCACACCCATATAAGAGCGTTGGTAAAACTATACTCTCATACATTCCCCTCTTTGCCTCCAAGGACAAAGTTCTTTGTCTCCACAGACTCCTAAGTGCACCACTCACTCTTTTTCCCTCATCAATTCTATGATTCACCTCATCTTTCATAGACCCATCCGCTGACACGTCCACTCCCAAATATCTGAATACATTCACCTCCTCCATACTCTCTCCCTCCAATCTGATATTCAACCTTTCATCACCTAATCTTTTTGTTATCCTCATAACCTTACTCTTTCCTGTATTCACCTTTAATTTTCTCTTTTTGCACACCCTACCAAATTCATCCACCAATCTCTGCAACTTCTCTTCAGAATCTCCCAAGAGCACAGTGTCATCAGCAAAGAGCAGCTGTGACAACTCCCACTTTGTGTGTGATTATCTTTTAACTCCACGCCTCTTGTCAAGACCCTCGCATTTACTTCTCTTACAACCCCATCTATAAATATATTAAACAACCACGGTGACATCACACATCCTTGTCTAAGGCCTACTTTTACTGGGAAATAATTTCCCTCTTTCCTACATACTCTAACTTGAGCCTCACTATCCTCCTAAAAACTCTTCACTGCTTTTAGTAACCTACCTCCTACACCATACACTTGCAACATCTGCCACATTGCCCCCCTATCCACCCTGTCATACGCCTTTTCCAAATCCATAAATGCCACAAAGACCTCTTTAGCCTTATCTAAATACTGTTCACTTATATGTTTCACTGTAAACACCTGGTCCACACACCCCCTACCTTTCCTAAAGCCTCCTTGTTCATCTGCTATCCTATTCTCCGTCTTACTCTTTATTCTTTCAATAATAACTACCATACACTTTACCAGTATACTCAGCAGACTTATCCCCTATAATTTTTGCACTCTCTTTTATCCCCTTTGCCTTTATACAAAGGAACTATGCATGCTCTCTGCCAATCCCTAGGTACCTTACCCTCTTCCATACATTTATTAAATAATTGCACCAACCACTCCAAAACTATATCCCCACCTGCTTTTAACATTTCTATCTTTATCCCATCAATCCCGGCTGCCTTACCCCCTTTCATTTTACCTACTGCCTCATGAACTTCCCCCACACTCACAACTGGCTCTTCCTCACTCCTACAAGATGTTATTCCTCCTTGCCCTATACACGAAATCACAGCTTCCCTATCTTCATCAACATTTAACAATTCCTCAAAATATTCCCTCCATCTTCCCAATACCTCTAACTCTCCATTTAATAACTCTCCTCTCCTATTTTTAACTGACAAATCCATTTGTTCTCTAGGCTTTCTTAATTTGTTTAATCTCACTCCAAAACTTTTTCTTATTTTCAACAAAATTTGTTGATAACATCTCACCCACTCTCTCATTTGCTCTCTTTTTACATTGCTTCACCACTCTCTTAACCTCTCTCTTTTTCTCCATATACTCTTCCCTCCTTGCATCACTTCTACTTTGTAAAAATTTCTCATATGCTAACTTTTTTCTCCCTTACTACTCTCTTTACATCATCATTCCACCAATCGCTCCTCTTCCCTCCCGCACCCACTTTCCTGTAACCACAAACTTCTGCTGAACACTCTAACACTACATTTTTAAACCTACCCCATACCTCTTCGGCCCCATTGCCTATGCTCTCATTAGCCCATCTATCCTCCAATAGCTGTTTATATCTTACCCTAACTGCCTCCTCTTTTAGTTTATAAACCTTCACCTCTCTCTTCCCTGATGCTTCTATTCTCCTTGTATCCCATCTACCTTTTACTCAGTGTAGCTACAACTAGAAAGTGATCTGATATATCTGTGGCCCCTCTATAAACATGTACATCCTGAAGTCTACTCAACAGTCTTTTATCTACCAATACATAATCCAACAAACTACTGTCATTTCGCCCTACATCATATCTTGTATACTTATTTATCCTCTTTTTCTTAAAATATGTATTACCTATAACTAAACCCCTTTCTATACAAAGTTCAATCAAAGGGCTCCCATTATCATTTACACCTGGCACCCCAAACTTACCTACCACACCCTCTCTAAAAGTTTCTCCTACTTTAGCATTCAGGTCCCCTACCACAATTACTCTCTCACTTGGTTCAAAGGCTCCTATACATTCACTTAACATCTCCCAAAATCTCTCTCTCTCCTCTGCATTCCTCTCTTCTCCAGGTGCATACACGCTTATTATGACCCACTTCTCGCATCCAACCTTTACTTTATATATATTTTTTATTATTATCACACTGGCCGATTCCCACCAAGGCAGGGTGGCCCGAAAAAGAAAAACTTTCACCATCATTCGCTCCATCACTGTCTTGCCAGAAGGGTGCTTTACACTACAGTTTTTAAACTGCAACATTAACACCCCTCCTTCAGAGTGCAGGCACTGTACTTCCCATCTCCAGGACTCAAGTCCGGCCTGCCGGTTTCCCTGAATCCCTTCATAAATGTTACTTTGCTCACACTCCAACAGCACGTCAAGTATTAAAAACCATTTGTCTCCATTCACTCCTATCAAACACGCTCACGCATAATTCTTGAATTTACACATTCATATTCTCTTTTCTCCTTCCATAACTGATCATTTAACATTACTGCTACCCCTTCGTTTGCTCTAACTCTCTCAGATACTCCAGATTTAATCCCATTTATTTCCCCCCACTGAAACTCTCCTACCCCCTTCAGCTTTGTTTCGCTTAGGGCCAGGACATCCAACTTCTTTTCATTCATAACATCAGCAATCATCTGTTTCTTGTCATCCGCACTACATCCACGCACATTTAAGCATCCCAGTTTTATAAAGTTTTTCTTCTTCTCTTTTTTAGTAAGTGTCTACAGGAGAAGGGGTTACTAGCCCATTGCTCCCGGCATTTTAGTCGCCTCATACGACACGCATGGCTTACGGAGGAAAGATTCTTTTCCACTTCCCCATGGACAATAGAAGAAATAAAGAAGAACAAGAGCTATTTAGAAAAAGGAGAAAAACCTAGATGTATGTATATATATATATATATGCATGTGCGTGTCTGTGAAGTGTGACCAAAGTGTAAGTAGGAGTAGCAAGATATCCCTGTTATCTAGCGTGTTTATGAGACAGAAAAAGAAACCAGCAATCCTACCATCATGCAAAACAGTTACAGGTTTCTGTTTCACAGTCATCTGGCAGGACGGTAGTACTTCCCTGGGTGGTTGCTGTCTACCAACCTACTACTCTGCTATATTGTGGAGAATTTGCTAGTGGATGTGAACATGTTTCTCAGATCCAAGTACAATACTACTCATTTGACTACTTGGCTTGTGTAGCACAAGCCTACACAATTACAACACACGGTAAAGAATGCAGAATACTATAAATTAATTTGTACATATTATTATTACATTCATGAGGAAAGTACTAAGTCCACTGGGGTCATACATTGCCTAGGGGAATAAAAGCATTCAGAAATTTCTCTACAATATTACAGGTTAACATGACACTAACCGTCATCCTCCTGTTGGACACCATGGGCCCCTCTTCATTTTGTAGACTCTGCATGACAAAAAAAAAAAAATATACAGTAATTAACAAATACTATATAGTACATTAATTTTTAAACCATAATCCAGTTTCAAGATTCTACTTCTAATATATTCTCACTTCCAAAAACTAAAGTCTGAATTACAAAACAATTGATATACAGGAAAGCAAGAACAGACTGGAAAACAAATTAAGGCAGGAGATAGTGAACTCAGCAAAAGACAATTAAACAAAATATCTCCATGGGGAAGTGGAGCAGAATTCTTCCTCCGTAAGCCATGCGTGTCGTAAGAGGAGACTAAAATGCCTGGAGCAAGGGGCCAGTAACCCTTTCTCCTGTATATATTACTAAATTTAAAAGGAGAAACTTTCGTTTTTCCTTTAGGGCCACCCCATCTCAGTGGGATATGGCTGGTACGTTGAAAGAAGATCTAAATCATATATGGTATAATAATAAAACAGGATGACTAGGAGTGTATATAATTCTTGGGTGAAGAGAAGGAAGGAAGGGTGGGTTGGGGTTATCCTAGGAAAGGTTGGGAGGGAGGGAGTAAAGGAGGTTTTGAGTGCTAAGGGCTTGGACATCCACTAGGCTTGTGTAAGCATGGTGGATAGGAGTGAACAGAGGATAGTGGTTGTTATGATTTGATGTGCCATTGGAATGTGAGAAAGATAATACAGTGGTCCCTCATTTATCGTCGTTAATCCGTTCCTGGAAGTGCGACGATTATTGAAATAGACGATTTTTTAATCAATTTTCCCCATAAGAAATAATGTAAATACACCTACCATCCGACTTATGACCGAGTTCAGTTCCGAGAAACCGGCCGTAAGTCGAAATGGTCTTAAGTCGAACTTTACTACTGAATAGTATCAACAAAACATTTTTGTAATGACTTTATTTTATTGTTTTATTTTGGTATTTCATGTTTTACTTTACCTTTTATGTTGTTAGTACTGTATTTTATATTGTAAGGTTTAGGATAAACACTGTGTACAACACAAATAGTTGTTTATTTCCCAGAAATTTGGCATAAAAAACACGGTCGTAAGCCGAGTGGCCGTAAGTCGAGCAGGTCGTAAGTCGGATGGTAGGTGTACAATTAATCCGTTCCTGACACCCAGAAGTATTACAACAAAAAAATTTTTTACATGAAATATAGATGTAGTACATAAACAATACAATGGGACATGATGAATGAAACATTAACAGCATAACACCTACCTTTATTGGCGATTCTTCTTAGTGTATGGAAGACTGGAGGAGGAGAGAGATTGGATATGTTACTGTTTGGAAGGGGAATCCCCTTCCATCAACACCCAGGTACCAAGTCCTTTTCTGGGGTTACTTCTCTTCTCTGTTTCCTAATGCCACTAGGACCAGCCTGAGAGTCAATGGAGTCCTGTCTCGCAAAAAAAACTGTCCAGAGAGCTCTGTTTCTGGCATCTTTTTAAAACTTCCCTAAAATGGGCCAAGACTCTGTCAATAAATAACAAAAAGGCACAATACCGTGACTGGAACAATACACAAATAACCCGCACATAAAAGAGAGAAGCTTACAACGACGTTTCGGTCCGACTTGGACCATTGACAAAGTCACTGTGCAAGTTGCCGATATGGCTCAGGGTGATGTTTCTCCATAAATCTTTCCATCCTACCCCGCATTTAAAAAATCTCCTTAATTTCTGAAAAAGGCACCTTCTTCCATCTCTCTTCCTCCTCCTCTGCAGCAAGATTCTGAGCTGCAATCTGTTGCTGTTCCTGCTGAAGCTCTTGCAGCTCCTCAGTGGTTAGCTCTTCGTTGTGGTCCTCCACCAACTCTTCCACATCCTCCAAACTCGCATCCAACCCCATGGAACTCCCCAGAGCCACAATAGAGTTCACAAACCCTTCAAATTCCCTCTTGTGGACACAATCTGGCCACAATTTTCTCCAAGCAGAGTTCAAAGTCCTGGTAGTCACTCCCTCCCAAGCCTTACCTATAATGCTTTCATATTGTTCAATGATGTTTTTCTTAAATTCAATCATATTTCTCACCTTCTTTACCAAAGGCTTGGCACTAGGAGCTTTCTTTGGAGTCAGTAGCTTATTTAGCACTTGCAAGCACTAAAATGAATGGAATATTATGAAATATTTCGTATGAACAAGTGAGGGGACCGTCGCTCACTGGTAAACAATGGCACACTGGCTGGGAAGGGAGGGCGACGCGGCTCAGAGCCGTGAGTATGCGTCCAGGACGAATGACGATTAGTGAGTCAACCGACCATTTGCGAGCCAATGTTTGGACAAAAATAACACGACGATTTCCGAAAAGGACGATTATCGAGCCGGATGATTATCGAGGGACCACTGTATTTACAAAGGATTCACAGAAAACTGGTTAGCCAAAATTGAGTCCTGGAGGAGTGGTAGGGATGTTGCAAATTGGAGGGTCATCTGAACTGTAATGTTAGTGCACTTTTGGCTAGACAGTGATTGAATGAGTGATAGAGTTTTCTTGTTCATCAGGTCAACCTATCTCAGTGTGAGATGGCCAGTGTAATTATTAAAATCTACTTTATCATGATCATTATAAGAAAAGACAGTGCTAATTTGTTTTATTTAATGTTAAAACAAAAATTAAAATGGTAAACAAAACTGCAGTAATTCAGGACATCAAGTTAAGAAGCTGAAATGTGAAATATTTTGTGAAGGTCAGGCAATCTCTAAATTTAATTTTCCCTAAAGAACTGAATGCCTCTATATTTAAACTGAGAAAATTATATTCTTTTTCAATCCTTTGTACTGTATTAGCAGTGACAATAGAGTAGATATTTGGTTGGTAGACAGTAACCACCCAGGGAGGTACTACAGTTCTGTCAAATGTGTGTGAAATGGAAACCAGTCATTGTTTTACACAACAGCGAGATTGCTGGTGTCTATTCTTTCTATCTCAAACATGCAAGATGACAGGTACATTTTCCTACTTCCATTTTCTTATTAGGTCTTGTTCTTATATTATTTCCTTTCATCTCCATGGGGAAGTAGAGAAGAATCCTTCCTCTATTAGCCATGCATGTTGTAAAAGGCAACTAAAATACCAGGAACAAGAGGCTAGTAACCCCTCCTCCTGTATTAATTACTATATTTAAAAAGAACATTTTCTGGGTAATCCTACCTTGATTGGAGACAGCTGGTGTTAGAAAAAAAAATCAATGGATGAAATAAAGAGAACATAAAAGTGATGGGGCAGCTCTAGCAAGGACTGGCTAATATTTGGTACAAACATAGAAACAACTTTAGCTACCGCACTGTTACATTAGCATCTATACTTATAATGGATTTCAGATCATTTCTTAAGATATAATTGGGTAGCTTTCTGGATATATGAGTGGTCTCTATGAGAATATAAAATATGTACTGTATTTAAGAAAATAAATGTTTACTTTTTCTTTGTCTTTGTATCGCTGCACCTCCTCTTGCATAATACTTCCTTCATTCTTTGTGCTCCTTTTCGACTGAAAGAGTAAATAAAATCACATATCTTCTGTATTACATGGAAGACAAAAAGGTTTTTCATCATAAAGAGAAAATTGGTTAAAAGAATTTTAGTAAATGAGGATTCAACAGGAAATGAAATTTCAATGAACAGTCAACAGAAGGAACAAAACATAGCTGATACACCAGAATATATGGTAAAATAAAATGCTGAAATGCAAGCTGAACAAATGTTTACCAGGTTTACTGTATAAACAGATTCATCTGTATTGTTCCTTTCACAATTACTTCTAATTACATCACTTTTCATATAACCAGCATTTTCATTCATATAATACTTTCCATAGTCCTTTCATCTTAATGAAGTTAAGCAAAATTAAATGTAGGATGTAAATGAGTGGGTGATTTGCATGGATGCAGCCCAACCTTTGGTCTTGGAGCACCTCAATAATCAAAGGAAATCTTGCCCCTGACATAGATACTGTATACTAAATAATATGAAGGTCAAGATGAAGTGAGTCTAATCATAAAGTTACAAGTTGGATACAGTATTTACTATAATTATTAATGTACACAGCCTAATGGTTAGGGGCAACCTCAAGAAGCCACAGACTTTGTCCCCAATATTGATAATTACAGTATTGAATTACATAACAAAAATTTTTAATGAAGTGGACTAAATATTAGAGTTGTATCCTGCAAGACTGATACTGCTGGTCTTCTTGAGGTGAAAAGTTGTGTACATACCAGTAAGAACTACAAATATTTCCACTCAGCATAAAGGAATCAATAAATCGCTGGCATTTATAGCCAAAGAAATGTAATACTACTCTGTAGTGAATTTCATCATCTTACATTACCAGGATAATTACCTTTCCCTTACTATCTTTTGATTTTTCAGCAATCTTTCTTCTTCTTTCATGCAGTCTATGGGAACCTTTATCCATTATCTAGTTGACCTCAAGTACTGGACCTACCGAAGGCAAAAACAACAGAGCCATGTTAACAGAAGAGTAAAAATCATAACACATTTACACATTCATGCTTCCTACTATTGGTAACAAATACTGAAACATTCAGATGGATAAAATTGATTTCATTGTACTATAGAGTATTTTAATACTGTATCAGGAAAAATAAGCATACATTTACATTATCATATTCGTGGAAGGAGCACTAAACCTGTAAGGGTCATATAGTGCCTAAGGAATGATCTGCAGACAGTAACACATGTGTACAATTTCAATACTCATATTATATGCCTTCACTTGTGGAACATTAACCCTTAAACTGTCCAAATGTAGATCTACGTTCACGTGCGGGGGGGCTCCGAACGTAGCTCTACGTTTTTTTTACATGCTTTCAAATGGGAAAAATAAAGGTTGGAGAACTACACACATGAACATAGATCTACATTTGGACAGTTTAAGGGTTAAGTAGAATAAATGTAGGTTAACCCAAAAAAGAAGAGAACCAAAGAATCCCAAACAGAAGTTAAAAAATGAATATAAGTCACTTTGTCTAACTCTTTTGGGCTATCCTAGGTAATCTACACATATGCTGCTATATATGATAATTTATGTACAGGTGGCCCTCCACATTTGCTAGGGTTAAGGGATCAAGAACCTCGTGAATGTTGAAAACTCGGGAATGTCTGTTGCACAAATATATATTGTAGGGAAATATAATAATAGCATTTACTTAGCCTAACAATACTGCTTCCTTAACCTATTGAACCATGAACAATCATAAAACACACGAAAACATCGTAAAATAAACCATACCCCAGCCAGGATTGAACCCGCGGTCAGAGAGTCTCAAAACTCCAGCCCGTCGCGTTAGCCACTAGACCAGCTAGCCACATGTTGACGGCAGTGAAGGGACTTGAGCTAGAGTTCGTCACGGCCACGCTAGCTGGAGATTCATCTGTAAAAACTTGCATTTGTGGTCACAGTGGTGCCTGTGCTAACCTTCCTATGGTGTAGAAATATACCTAGTTGGACGAATCTTATTGTGGCTAGCTGGTCTAGTGGCTAACGCGACGGGCTGGAGTTTTGAGACTCTCTGACCGCGGGTTCAATCCTGGCCGGGGTATGGTTTGTTTGCAATCATGTCATTACGATTTCGTGAGTCACATCGTAAAATACATATATGTATTGTATACCCATACATTTTATGGTTTAATAACAAATGAACAAACGAAACACCACTCGTGAGGTTCGGCAGACGAATTCTGATGTCTTGTGATGATGATGACAATGATGATGATGATGGTTATGATAGCTATGCAGTTACTGATGACAGTTGAATGGAGGTGAATATTTTGAGTGTAACTGCATGGCATGATGAGTCTAGTGTGTGGATTTTAACTCTTCACTGCCAGCATCACTGCCGATAATGGGCGGTGGATCATCGACATCACTAGAGTCAGAGTTAGCAACGGGAGTAGTGGCAAGCTTCCATGTGAAGAACATTGTGATGGGCAACTGAGACAGTTTCCTCTTCATATTTACAAACAGAATTTTGTAGGGAATTATGTACCTATCAATGTCAATCATCACCTTCAAAGCCCTCAACATCGATGGGTCTATGTCGTAAAAAAATTGTTTGAGCTGTGATGTCATTCTCATCGCTTGCCCTAGTTTTTCAAGGGTCAGGGCTTGAGGTTGATTGGCCTCAGCAACTCTCTCCTTTTCTTCATCCTCATTCTCTGACTGCACAATCGCCACCAACTCTTCATCATTTAGGCCCAGTGCTTGTTCTTCAACCAGTTCTCTCACCTCACCCTCCTGCATGTCCTCGAACCATTCACCACCAACTAGCCTTGCTAACTCCACAGTCTTCCTCACGGCTTTGTTAACCTCGTCCTGAGGACCAAATCCAACAAAATCACACACACACACACTCTGGCCACAAAGTGGCAGGAAGCATAAATATGATTGGGCGGCTGGGCATTCGCGAATGTTCGAAGCTCACGAAAGTGGAACTCACAAATGCGGAGGCCACCTGTAACTGTATTTGTGTGTACCTGTACCTGAATAAACTTGCTATCACCTAAACCAACTGACTTGCAAACCATATTCAATGTTCTATAAAGAAAAAAGAAAAGCCTTAACTTTTTGATATATGTACTATTTTAATCATGGGAAACTGGAGGTACTCAGGTTTGAGTTGAGGAAGGGGATTATAGCTCCTATTCCATGGTTCAAGAGAACTTTTTGATCCTGTAGCTTGTCGATATGTTGCACGTTTCCTTACACGTTATCCCTTTCATATAGCAGTACGTACATACATAGTTAATTTTCACTCATATATTTAGCAGCAAGTAGGGCGATAGTAAACAAATGCTTCTTGGAAAATTTTGGTCCTTAACCCTTAAACGGTCCAAACAAATCGACGTTCAAATTTGTAGTACTACAAAAGCAGATCTACATTTTTTAACATATTTTCAAATGTAACAAAAAAAAAAGTAGATAAAAGTTTTTTTACACGTTTTAAAGTGTAAAACAAAAAAGAAGATCTACATTTTTTTACATACTTTCAGATGTTGAAAAAACATATATATACGTTTGGACCGTTTAAGGGTTAATTATACTAGTTAGAAATGTTTGACATCAAATTTGGTTATTTTATGTTGATCACATTGTAAGAAATATAACCAAACCTAACAAAACCCACCTAACCTAATTTAATATAACCTAACATAACTTAACCTTACTCCACCATCAGTAGAGATGCTTTGGGTAATATCCAGATCCAATCCTTTTGAGAACTCAGGCATTATTTTCCTTTAAAATGAAAGTAAGGAATCTAAACCCTAATAGTATTATATTCAAGGAGGAAGCGCTAAACCCATAGGATAATACAGCACCTGTGGGGGGGATGTGAAAGGTATTCAGGCTTAATTCAGAGAACTGGAACACAGATCCAATTTCCTAGGTCAAGAACCCTTCACCAGTGTCAAGGAACCTTCCTTGAGGGGTACACCCCAGTAAACATTGTTACATCTTGTACAAATTTTGGGGGAGACATTAGCATGAATAACAACCTTATTTTGACTCAAATGTAGTGTTAGGGCCAATCAACAGTCAGCAGAGAGTCACTTGACATGCCTCAGTCAATCACAGGGAGTATAAGCAACAATGCACCAGTCTCATCCACTGTTGTCAGCAATTAATTTACATTAGGAATCATAGGTCGGGTTATTTTTGGTCATAAGGTAGAGACACTGTGCCTGTTTATTTATTTATTTATTTATTTATTTTATGTCTTTGCAAACAGTACATTGAGATTTTGTATTTACAATAGTGGGTTGCAATGCAAAGAGAACCTCTATTATGCCTAGGCATTATGGGCCAACTTAACATTATTGGCTTACAGTCTACTTAATACTAAGGAATATATCATAGTTGTACAGTAGGATAGTAATTATTTCATAGTTGTACAGTAGAATATTAATTATAAATGAATCAAAATTTGTACAATACAAAGATATATTTATATTCGAAAATGCTTTTTGTGAAAACAATGATTCAATTACATTCCTGTCAACAATGGATAAAAGGTTCAATGTGATTGTTTCAGTTATGATGTGGGAGTACATAGGTGAGTAAGCGTGTACTGAGTAATTAGCATTTAGTCTAGGGTGATTAAGTGGCTTTTGAGAAGAGTCTTAAATTGATTTTCAGACTGGGTTACTTTAATATCTTCTGGTAATGAATTCCATATTTTGGGGCCCTTTATGTGCATAGTTTTTACACAGTGTGATATGGACACAAGGTATATCAAAAAGAGATCTGTGTCTTGTGTTGTGGTATTTGCTTTTTTTACTACACTGTTCATTTTCAATTCTCCTGACATGTTTGTGTCAAAGAAAGAATTGATAGTGAATAATGTAGTGCAGAGAGGCAGTGTCTGACTATTGAGGCTCATGGGACCCTATGTCTAGCTCTTACACAATGTCATGTAGATTATTCTTGCTCATCGTGGTACTCTGTTCTAACAAAAAAAAAAAAAAACTGAAAGGGTGACCACAAATCACCCAGAACAAAATGGTGAGATTTACCCTGGATCTGGGTCCAGGAGAGCATGTAGGCTAGGATGAATTTCAACAGGATATGCTGAATGTTGTAAGTAGAATAAAGTAACTTAGGTTAATCATGTTTTAAATTACTCACAGTAACTTGTAACCTGGATGTCTGCTGACTGTTGTGGGTCGTATACTGGGAAACACAATAAATAGACCCTAATGGAAATAAGCCACACTGAATGACTTTCTTGGATTTTCTTGGGTTACTTACACATTGAGTTATTAATCCAAATAAAATCACCATCAAGGACCCAATGGATATATGTTCAAGGGCCGCATTATTATTATAATTAAGGGGGAGTACTAAACCCGTAGGATTATGCAGTGCCTGTTGGGGGATGTTGAAGATATTCAGGTTTAATTCAGGGAACTGGGGCACAGATCCAATTCCCTAGATCAAGAGCCCCTCACCAACGTCAAAAACCTTCCTTGAGGGGTCAAGGACCCCATTGGAAATACATTCACGGACCCCAATGATAATACATTCAAGGACTCCAATGGAAATAATTCACTAACTTTTCTGGGTTATCCTAGGTAATTTACACTATGTATGATAATTGTAGTTATATATACCTGTGTCTAAATTAGCTTAATTATCGTGGCACGCCCCGTGATGGACCCATTCTAATGATCCTCCCCAAAAAATCAATAAGCACAAAATCTTCACTAAAACAATAATCAGAAAACTCAAACACAAGCCTGCAATATGTTAACTAAGTATTAAAACTTGATGAGCAAAGGGGATCGTAAAAAGAGGCAAAAATATATGATGTTGCACATTTTGAGCGTGTCAAACCTCCCTCTCGTGTTGTGGGAAGAAGTTCCTCTCGTCACCACCAGAGCTCCACCTGCTTGAACTAACTTTTTAACTTTGTAAGTCAGTTTATTCAGGTATACACAAATACTGTTATATACATTATCATACATAGCAGCATATGTGTAGAGAACCTAGAATAACCCCGAAAAAAGTCGGATTTATTTCCATTGAGGTCCTGGTCCTGGTGGGGTTAACTATGATAATATTTGAATAAATTTTTACATAATGTAGCATTAATCATTCGTACATGTATTGATCAATATGTAGGTGTATACTAGGTCTCAGTCACTCCCTAGACAGGGAGCCAAGGCCGCGCCACCACTTGGCAAAGGCTCAGGCCGGGAGTATACCGGCGAATCTTAAAAAAAAAAAAATATACAAATTAAAGGCAATCGACACCAGCCCTGAGCCCAAGCTTGCAGATCACAAGACTGTCATTCCCATTAGTTCCCCTTGGGGCGGGGATGGACAACCAGAGAGGCCTAGCTTCTCCCTACGAGCCCCGTGAGGGCGGAGAATGTGGCTAGGCCTGGGGACAGTTGGTCCCAAAGATGAGGGGTACTTGTGCCTCCTCCCATGGGAGACTTAGGTCTCAGACACTCCCTAGACAGGGAGCCAAGGCCGGGCCACCACTTGGCAAAGGCCCAGGCCGGGAGAATACCGGCGAATCTTTAAAAAAAATAAATAAATATAAATGGTTATAATTATGATCATAATTTGTAAAGGGGTGGACCGGTAAACCAGCTAAAGGTCTCGGTCAGATGACCAACGGCGGGTCATCATCTAAGACCCGCGTCAGGAAACACTTGTCCTCTTTCCTGACAAAACTACCTAACCTAACCCGTGTTAGGTTAGGGAGATGCACTAGGAATAAAGTGAACCGAGTTATATACATTAACATTAATGAGAGAATCAGATCACAGTAATAGAACATGAATGTTACAGGTACACTTAAGTACAGTTATAAGACAAAGTGACTTATTTCCAGTAGGAGAAGCATAAAATTCATAATGATGGGATAACAATACAACCTGCTTTGGAATTTTAAGCTGGAGGGTTAGAAATCTTGGATAACTCAAGAAAACCATTAGGTGTACTTTATTTCCATTATTGTCAGTGTTCTTAGCCCTAAACTCTGGAAGTCTCTGCCTGCTGATTCCAACTGCTGGCAGATGCCAGGTCACCTCATAGACAAGACCGGGCAAGGACTACGCTGGCAGATGCCAACCTCTTCAGTGCTACTGTTAATAAGTTTATTTAGGTGCAGGTGCACATAAGCACAGTTATCACACACAGTGTAAATTACCTACATGCACAACTAAATGTCGCTATCTCAGTACAAACATTGTATCATGCTGAGAGTTTGTCTTGTCCATGTTCTTCCAGCTTTCCTTCAACTCCCATATAAGATGCATATACTGTCTTATCATATTTGTATTGTAATTTAAGTAACTAATGGCACTCACTGTACTAAACTTAACAATTGTATCTTCTTATTGTGATTTTTGTTATTATGAATTAACTGAGTAAATTTTAAGTAGCTTAAGTAGGTAGGTATAATGTTTGTCACGAAACAGGACAAGTGTTTCCTAACGCGATCATATGATGACCCACAGCTGGAACTTGTGGTTATCTGACCGAGGACTTTTGCTGGCTTAATGTCCATGTTGGTTTGCCAGGACGGGTCCTGGCCCGGGTCTTCTCCACCCTAGAAAATGCCATGCCCATATGACAACAGGAAAATGCAAACTCCCTTCCTGTAAGCTTTTTCACCCTGAAATGTGTACCTCTTCAGTACAGGAAAGACTGTGCTATAACTTAAATTGCCAGGCACACCATCTAAAGGGGACAAAAAGATACAAAACATCCAGGCCATTGAAAAACCTGGGTAGCCACAGCCACTCAAGAGGGAGAGGTTTTTTAGTGCCAGGAAGGAAAAAAAACTGGCAGGAAATGGCAGATATCGTACACCAAATCCAGTCATTCCTGGAGTGGAACCACAGTCGATGGCCTCCACTCCAAACCAACAGATACAGATGCTAATGCCGGAAAAAAATCCCCCCCCCCAGTACCAACAATACCACCAGTCCGATGACATTCTTCTTTGCAAATATACAGGGTCTAAAGCCAGCAACAAACAACAAAATACCTTTCATCCGTGGACTGCTTGCAGAGGAAAAAGCAATGGTCGCGGCTTTCACTGAGACCCACATAAAGGATCACTTGGACAACGAAATATGGATCCCAGGTTACAACCTATACAGATGTGACAGAGTGAACAGGCAAAAGGGGGGGGGTTGGTCTGTACATTGCAGAGTCACTTGTTTGCACAGAACTGCTTAATGCCTCAAATGATGTAGTGGAAGTTTTAGCAGTAAAGGTCGAGAACCAAAACCTAGTCATTGTGGTAGTCTACAAGCCTCCGGATGCAACATCCCAGCAATTCCAGGAACAGCTGTTAAAAATTGACCACTGTCTGGAAAATCTTCCAGCTCCTGCACCCAACATCTTGCTCCTGGGGGATTTCAACTTAAGGCACCTAAAATGGAGGAATATAGCAAATAATATTGTTGCAGTAATAACACCAGGAGGCAGCTCTGATGAAAACTCACACTCACACGAGCTTTTAAATCTCTGCACAAAATTCAATTTAAACCAGCAAATAATAGAGCCTACTAGACTGGAGAATACACTAGACCTCATTTTGATAAATTAGACACATGTGCAACTCTTGGGTATCTTTATTGAGGAAACGTTTCGCCACACAGTGGCTTCATCAGTCCATACAAAGGAGAATCTTGAAGAACAGGAGGAGAATGAGGTAATCAGTCCCTCAACCTTGAGTCGATGTGGTCAGTCCATCAATCTTGACTAGATTGATGGACTGACCACATCGACTCAAGGTTGAGGGACTGATTACCTCATTCTCCTCCTGTTCTTCAAGATTCTCCTTTGTATGGACTGATGAAGCCACTGTGTGGCGAAACGTTTCCTCAATAAAGATACCCAAGAGTTGCACATGTGTCTAATTTATCAACATGTCGGTTCTCTGAACCATTCATCTACAAAACTAGACCTCATCTTCACTAACAATGATGATCTGATAAGAAATGTCACCATATCAAAAACAATATACTCAGATCACAACATAATTGAGGTTCAGATATGTATACGTGGAGCCCCAGACCGACATAATGAGACTAGTCACGAGGGAGCATTCACCAAATTCAACTTCAATAACAAAAACATAAAGTGGGACCAAGTAAACCAAGTCCTAACCGATATAAGCTGGGAAGATATACTAAGCAACACAGACCCCAACTTATGCCTAGAACAGATTAACTTGGTGGCACTCGATGTATGCACAAGGCTTATTCCTCTAAGAAAAAGGAGGAGTAGATGTAAAATAGAAAGAGACAGGCGCTCCCTTTACAGGCGACGGAAAAGAATAACAGAGCGGCTAAAAGAGGTCAATATATCTGAAATGCGTAGGGAGACACTGGTCAGAGAAATAGCAAGCATCAAACTTAAGCTAAAGGAACTTATAGGAGTCAGGAATCGCGGGAAGAACTAAAAGCCATAAATGAAATCGAAAGAAACCCAAAGTATTTCTTCTCCTATGCCAAATCAAAGTCGAGAACAACGTCCAGTATTGGGCCCCTACTTAAACAAGATGGGTCCTACACAGATGACAGCAAGGAAATGAGTGAGCTACTCAAGTCCCAATATGACTCAGTTTTTAGCAAGCCGCTAACCAGACTGAGAGTCGAAGATCAAAATGAATTTTTTATGAGAGAGCCACAAAATTTGGTTAACACAAGCCTATCTGATGTTATCCTGACGCCAAATGACTTCGAACAGGCGATAAATGACATGCCCATGCACTCTGCCCCAGGGCCAGACTCATGGAACTCCGTGTTCATCAAGATATGCAAGAAGCCCCTATCACGAGCCTTTTCCATCCTATGGAGAGGGAGCATGGACACGGGGGTCGTCCCACAGTTACCAAAAACAACAGACATAGCCCCACTCCACAAAGGGGGCAGTAAAACAACAGCAAAGAACTACAGACCGATAGCACTAACATCCCATATCATAAAAATCTTTGAAAGGGTCCTAAGAAGCAAGATCACCACCCATCTAGAAACCCATCAGTTACACAACCCAGGGCAACATGGGTTTAGAACCGGTCGCTCCTGTCTGTCTCAACTATTGGATCACTACGACAAGGTCCTAAATGCACTAGAAGACAAAAAGAATGCAGATGTAATATATACAGACTTTGAAAAAAGCCTTCGACAAGTGTGACCATGGCGTAATAGCGCACAAAATGCGTGCTAAAGGAATAACAGGAAAAGTCGGTCGATGGATCTATAATTTTCTCACTAACAGAACACAGAGAGTAGTCGTCAACAGAGTAAAGTCCGAGGCAGCTACGGTGAAAAGCTCTGTTCCACAAGGCACAGTACTCGCTCCCATCTTGTTCCTCATCCTCATATCCGACATAGACAAGGATGTCAGCCACAGCACCGTGTCTTCCTTTGCAGATGACACCCGAATCTGCATGACAGTGTCTTCCATTGCAGACACTGCAAGGCTCCAGGCGGACATCAACCAAATCTTTCAGTGGGCTGCAGAAAACAATATGAAGTTCAACGATGAGAAATTTCAATTACTCAGATATGGTAAACATGAGGAAATTAAATCTTCATCAGAGTACAAAAATTCTGGCCAAAAAAATAGAGCGAAACACCAACGTCAAAGACCTGGGAGTGATCATGTCGGAGGATCTCACACTTCAAGGACCATAACATTGTATCAATCGCATCTGCTAGAAAAATGACAGGATGGATAATGAGAACCTTCAAAACTAGGGAGGCCAAGCCCATGATGACACTCTTCAGGTCACTTGTTCTATCTAGGCTGGAATATTGCTGCACACTAACAGCACCTTTGAAGGCAGGTGAAATTGCTGACCTAGAAAATTTTACAGAGAACCTTCACGGCGCGCATAACGGAGATAAAACACCTCAATTACTGG